GGAGAAAAGGAAGTCAAAGCAGAGGAACTAATAATGTACTTCATCGTAATTGCTTGATCCATCTTGAAATAATTAGGAACTCAGCAGATTAATGCACTGCAAACGAACATTAAAAGAGATCACATATGCTCTCTAACACCTCTGTCCATCTCAGAAGAGATCAAAGGCACAGAACTAATTAGCCTTACAAGATGGCTCACACAGCAAGTGGCCACAGAATGAGATGGATACCAGAATCACATGGACACTATTTATTTCTATGGATAAGAGTGAAATGTGATAGATGCACTGTAAGTGCAGAAAGCAGCATGGATAAAGTCTGAATAAGGAGGCCAGTGACCATTATTCAAAGTGGATGTAGGAGTCTAGCTAAGAACTAGGAATTTCCCAGGTCAAATTTTGTTTCAGTGGCTGTTCTGCGCAGGCAAGTTGCTATTTCCTCAATTTTAGTGATGTGACACACACATGGGACAGTGTGATAGTATTGCACAGAATATTTTTCCCTGTTGATGTTTACAGAACAAATAGGATTTATTATATTGTGTATTCAGGCTCTAATTTGAAGTATGAGGAACAAGGCGTATAATGCTATGGAATGGAATAAATCTTCAGTTTGATTTATCCACAGCATAACAAAATAAAATAATAACTGAATAATAGGCAGGGCACAAGCATTATAAACAAAACAAAGAGAATCAAGAGAGAAACTCAATTCTGAAGCTGCCGCTATTTGATGGTGATGACGATGACAATGGGTCCAATGAGTTTTGGAAACTTCTGAAATTCCTTCTTCAAGGGCATCCATTCTGATCAATGATTGATCCAAGGTATGGAAAATCTTTATTTCAATTTCCTCATTGTCTACACTGAACTTGTGTAAATCCTCCATGGTTTCTCTTAATGTTCAAGAGAAAGCTATTGTTTCTCTGTAATTGTTCTTGTCCTGTGATCCCTAGTGCTTCTTCTCTTTCTGAACCCAGCTTGCACATCTGGAATTTCTTGCTCCATATACAGTAGCAGTTTTTGTTGCATTTTGAGCATGACTTTGCTTGTGTGAGAAATTAATGCTATAATTCTGTAGTTACTGTAATATTTTGTGATTCCTTGGGGTGGTGGTGGATTGGAATATATATAGATTGTTTCTGATCTGTGGGATATTGTTTTGTTTTCCATATTTGTTGGCAGATTTTAATTAGAAGTAAAGTTGATTCTGTCTCTGTAGTTTGCAGTAGTTTTTTGTGTGTGTGTTATTTGTTTCTGGTGATTTATTCTTCCCAATTGCTCTGAGTGCAGCTTTCACTTCACTTTCCAAAATCTGGAGCTCATCTTTGTCTGATTCTTCTTTCCATTGATTCTTACATCTTTTTTATATAACTCTTTTGTGTATTGCTTCCATTATCTTTATTTTATCTTGGTTGTGTATTATGTTCCTCTGCTGATTGTAGAGCATTTTGATCCTTGGCTTAAATTTCCCAATTGATTTCACAAATCTTGTGGAAGAGAGGTCTTGTTCTTCCTTTTTTGTTCTTGCCTGATTCTGTTTCTCTACAATGATTATTAGAGCAATTCTCTTTATCCCTGAGGACTAATCACTGAATAGTTGCATTCATGGTTCTTGCTCTTTTCCTGTCTCCTTTTTCTTTCGCATCATATCTGTCTTTACTGCTTGAAGTCTGTCACTGATTGATTCTTTTTCTTTTTGGCTACAAATCTTTTTGCATTCCTCCTTAACTCCTAACTACCTCCTTGGCTACTGTCTTTAGTTTATCTGGTTCTTAGTCAATTAGGCTTAATAGTGCAAATCTATTTTTCTCATTATCTTTAAATTCCACTGGGATGTCCTTTGGGTCATATTTCAGTCTGATGGTTGGATTAGTGATCTTACGTTGGCTTTATTCTGCCTAGAGGGAACCCTAATAAGCTGCTAGAATAATGTGAGAAAAAGAGAACCTGTTACTGGTTAGTTAAAAAGGTGTACAATACATTTCCTCCTAATTGCCATCCACCAATACAGAACTGATTTAAGATATGAGGAGAAAGAAGCCATTCAGACACCAGGAACCCTGGTTGATAGTAAGTTTTTTTAAAATCCCTCATTCTGGGGTGGTGAGGGTGGTGTGTTCACTTTTTTCAACCTCTCAATCCATATTTTTATTGGCTTTTCAATAGTATAATAACAAAGAAAGGGGAAAAAGAGGAGAAAAAAGTGAAGGAGAGGATATAGGATAGGAACCTAGTGTAGCCATAGATACAGATATAAGTTGACCATTTTAACAAAAATGTTTTCTTATAAAAGTTGACATCTATAAAAGGCACATTCATGAGCAGTTAAGATAGATAGTAAGATCTTTTGACTATTGAACAATATATGGTAAATGTTTATCATTCCAACCCTGCAGTCTTTAGCAACAGTAAAAGTATGCAGGATCCTACATGCACACATGCACGTACACATGCAAGTGTGTGCACACACACACAAATGCACAGGGTTTTTAAAAAATTTTTTTCTTAGGCCTTAGTTTGCCCTTTTGCTTTCTTGTTGAAAGTTCATTTCTTCATTGGGCTCCATCTTTATTTCAGCTTTGTGTCTTTTCACATAGATGCAGTCCCCCAACCCCACAATTTTCAGATTTCAGATTTACTTATTTTAATTTTCAATAATGTTACAAAGGGGTAGGTTTGCCAGTGCTAAGTCTTCAATAGACTCTCTGCACATTGGGAGGTTCTGCTACTCCATAACAAGACCTTTTTCTTGTGGTTTTTAAACCCTGCTTCCCAGAACTAGTTCTTTTCAGGGACAGATTCAGCCTTGTGCATTGTTTTTGTTATTAACTGTCATCAAGTAAACTTTGGCTAGCCTATGAATGACAGACCTTCATGAATGACGTTCTCCCGGCGCAGTGTTTTTACACATTGCGCCAGAAGAGGTGCAAAAGAGCCACATGTTATATTGTCTAGGTCTACAGTGAAAGTGCAGTCTGATAACCTCTAGAGCAGAAGTCGGCAACTTTGTGTTGCCGGGGGCCAGGAGGGGGGGAAAATGGCACTGGGGACTGCGCGTGAGGATGCGCATGACGCCCACCATCGTGTGCGTGTGTGCACGCATGGGGGGAACCATTTTGGGCCTTCCAAAATGGCACTCTGCGTCATGCACGCATGCCGGTGGGCGCCATTTCAGAAGGCCCAACAGTGCCGGCACCATGCAAATTCGCATGGGGCCAGCACCATTGGGCCTTCCAAAATGGCGCCTGCCAGCGTGTGCATGCGTGCGCAAGTGCAGGCGCCATTTTGGATGCCAAAATGGTGCCCGCGCTCGCACGCAGTGTGCTGGCAGCGGCGGCATGTGCACAGCAGCAGCAGCAGCGGTGGTGGCAGGACCGGCCATGGGCTGGTCCAAAGGCCTTCGCGGGCTGCACCCAGCCCACAGGCCGTAGGTTGCCGACCTCTGTTCTAAATATATCCTACAGTGCCTGGTGTTCATTGGCAGTCTCCCGTCCAAGTACTAACCAGAGCCAACCTTATTTAGCTCCCAAGACCAGGTGGAAACTGATGCCTTTAGGGCAGGGGTAGGCAACCTTTTTGAGCCGTGGGCTGGGTTGCTGTCCCTCAGACAATTGGGGGGCCTGAAGCACCATAAATAAAAATAAATAAATAAATAAATAAATAAAAATTAAAAAATTAAAAAATAAAATTAAAAAATTTAAAAATTATGCATGCACACTCTCTCAGCCCCAGAAAAGCCATGGCAAAACCCCTGTGGAGATTTTGCCAAGAAAACCCCAAGAACAAGTAATAACAACAATAATCAATATCATCATGGTGGGGGGCAGCGGCAGCGGGGGCAGCAGAGGCAAAGGCCTCAGGGGGCCGCATCCGGCCCCCGGGCCTTAGGTTGCCTACCCCTGCTCTAGAGGGTTGCAAGTTACCTGGCTCTGTTGTAATTAAGGACTGAATGGTTCAGTACTTCATAGATCATGGGAAAAGATGAATGAGAATAACCCAGCCAGGATAAGGATCATTTAATCAGAACAAAATATTTATTGTGAGCAAATCAGACAAACATAAATACAGTGTAGTGTTTGTTATCATCAATCAGGCGGATGAAACAAAGGAAGGTTGTGGATTTCATCATGTTCATTCCCCCCCCCCTGCATGCCCCCTGTCCTCAAAAACATGGTAGGCATTGGGAATATTATTTTCAGTGGGGTGTATGTGGGGGGCACCCCCAGGCAGCTAATGTGGTCCCCTAAATCTCTACAGTTGCCTATCCCTATCACTCTGTAAGTGTTTCCTGATGAGCAGCAAAATGGTTCTGTATATTGGGCCTCATCTTGTCCCTTGTTGAGTCCAGACACTAGTTTGCATGGCCTCCCCCACTTCATATGTCAAAGAGAAACAGTTCTGAGTGTCTTTAAGGTATTGATAGCCCCCATCCCCAATTAATCTGGCACCCTTACTCTGTGGGTGAGATTTAAAAGACAGGACCTTGTGAGACCTCACACAGTTTGAATACTATGAATTTAAGCAGACCCCTCCTGCAATGCTGTCTTCTAAAATGTACCCTGCAGATAGGAGTGGAATTGCCATTATACCATCTTACCTACTTCTGTTCCACAGAGTCATTCTAATATATCCTGTAAATGTCATTTGTTTTTCCATTTGCTTTTAAAATGCATAAGTTTCTCTCTCTCTTCATCCCACTTTCTCCTTTTGACTTCAGCTTACTTCAGTTGCTGCAAACTGAGTTCAAAATGCAAAAGTTGTTTGAACTTTAGTAACGAAGCAGAGGGGAGAGGAGAGGGCATTTTTTTGTCCTTCCCAGTAGGCTCAGCAAAAGCAGCCTGCTGCAGCCTTTCTTTGCTTGTGCGGTCTTCCTCATTTACAACTTTTGCCATCTTGACCACATTCTGGTTGCCAGGCCACTTGTATCCCAGTTTTTATTTGTGAAATGTTGGAGGGTATGCTCTAATAAGATATAATAGTATCAAAGCTGTTGGAGAGCCAGCGTGGCATAGTGGGTTGAGTGTTGGAATATGACTCTGGAGATCAGGGTTCGATTCCCAGCTCAGCCATGAAACCCACTGGGTGATCTTGGGCAAGTCACATGTTTACAGTCTCTGGGGAAGGCAATGGCAAACCTCCTCTGAACAAATCATGCCACGAAAAACCCATGATAGGGTTTGCCTTAGGGTCGACATAAGGTGGAAATAGCAACAACAACAAATCAATGCTGTTAAGAGAACTAGGAAATTCAGCAGGTTCACACTCTCCTATCTCCTTCCTGTGAGAAATTGTGTAACTTTTCAGTACCATGACCAGACCTAAACCTGCAAGTTGGATGTGATTACAGGCAGGTTTAGCCTCAAAATGCTTCGCAACAAATGGTCACAAGAAGGCTTCCAAAGATTTTGTTAGTATCTCAATAAAAGCGGACCTTAATAGCCCACTTATGACCCAGAAAAGAACAAATGGTTGGCTAATAATAATAATAATAATAATAATAATAATAATAATAATAATAAATTTTATTTATATCCCGCCCTTCTGTCACGCAATCAAGGCAGCTCACAACAATTTAAAAAGATCATACAATATTAAAATACCATCTAAATCCCACAGCCCCCCCACTCCTTAAAAAAGAATTAAACAATTTTAACATTAAAACATTGATTCAAACACATAATTAAAACAAAACATAATCAAACAAACAATAATACGTGGAGCAGCATTTAAACCAAATGTAGGAGGAATAAAAGGCTACACAAGGATGTAATGGAGGCAGAGAAATGAAAGTGCTTTGCTACTGCTGACCATAAAGGCTTGATTATATATTTTAAATACCTGATCATGCCCTCACTATTAGCAAATAGGCAAGTGATCTCTAAGCTATGGCAAAATGGAGATTATTTTATCTATTTCTTAGTATTATCAAAGTACGTATGTGAGGTTCAGTTCTCTGGACAAACATATGCAACAATTTTATGGTAGGACCCCAAATGATATCTTTATTGAGCATTGGTTCTCATAATACCTAGGAGTTCAAGATCTCAGAGTCTGGACTCTTCTCCTTCTTCAGGGTAATAAAGAGGAATGTAAAGGCAAGAGCACAGCCTTGAGAAGACTGGGGAGTTTATCACACATACTATTCTCCCATTCCGTTTGCATCTCTAAAGCACACCGGTCTTTAAACGAGATGAGGACAGGTGCTACCACATT